GTTCAAATCCCACACGGAAAAATTTTTGAATATTTTTTTTTTTTTTTTTGTTACGAGAATAATAGATACAATGTCTTCAAAGAAAAGCGACAGCAAAGAAACAGCACCTATAGTTTGTTGCAGATGTAAATCTCCAATTGATCTCAAACACTCGCTAAAGTGCATGATCTGTAGGAAGAATTATGATTTCGACTGTTCTGGAACCTCGGAAAAACTGTATCGCTTAATGGACCAAAACTCAAGACAGAAATGGAAATGTAAAGATTGTATATCAGCAAAAAATTTGTCAAATGTAACGACCAGGAAAAAGCTCTTGAGACAAAAAACAAATCAGCCTTCAACCAAAGAAACAATGTCATGTCCTACTCAAAAATCCTGTGAGAAATCGTCCCCGCAGAATCAAACTGATACATCTATTACTACCGAAACAAACTGTTCTACACTACAGAAAGAGATATACTACGATTCTCATATACTTACAGAGAGGGAATCCTCCGAATCTCCGGATGATAAATGCTACACTGTATCAAATGAGCTGTCTAGGAGCGCTGATTTTACTCTAAATAATGTAGTAGTAGACCGCCAAGATGACGAAACTATAGCACAGCTGACATCAGAGCTTGGCGCCACGCAGAATGAGCTTGAACGTACAATATTGGAAAATAATAAATTGCACAGACAAATTAAACAGATGACAAATGAAATACAATTACTCAAAGAGTTATGCAAACAAACATCTGACAACTATTGTTTCCCCAATAGCTGTGATAGGCAAAAGAAGAGACATTCTATGTATATTGCGAGATCTTCTGACCAATCCTCGATGTTTACTCCTACTAGAACGTGTTCTGCAAACTCAAACAGGACCGATACTACCAGTCTTCAAAGCAGAATAACTGTGTTATTATCTGACTTAAAAACCGCTAAGGAGCAGATTAAAAGCCTAGAATTTGAAGTTAACAATCTTAAACGACAATTAAGCGAGAATCAGACATCTTTGAAGCACACAGATTCTATATCAAGCAACATAGAGCCACCAAAGACACCCAAAAAGATATGGCCAGGCAGCCAGATAACACAGTCATCTAAACGAACCATACTCATTTACGGATCCCAACAATGTGTTGGTTTGGCTTCTACCCTGATACAAGCAAGACAAAACTCGGAGTACACAAAGAATTGCGTATTATATAATTACCAAATAGTCGCTGAAACAAAACCATATGCATTGAGCAAAGATGTATTATTGCGAGAAGATAGGGGTACACATCTCAAACCTGGCGACAAACTAGTATTAAGCGTGGGAGAAAATGATTACAACCCGGAAATGACAGTATCGATACTTAGAGACATTATAGTAAAGTATAGTGATATAAGTATTATAATATTAAGCGTCTTAAAAAACCATAACTTAAATATTGCGCATCTGAATAACAAAATTAGAATGTTATGTAATAATTATAAAAATTGTCACTTCGTAGTTTGTAATCAATCTGGAAAAACATTTGACATTTGTGAATCTATTAATTATGTTATTGACTCTATTGACTATAATGATATGTACATCAGTCCTGGACAAGTAAGAAAACTGATATGTCGTAATAAACCAAACAAAACTAACGAAAAAATAGCTCTTAAGTACCCTAGAGGCACAATTCCCTACTACTTCGCACGTGAACACACTCAAATTACAGGCCCTGCGGGTGAGGACTCTATAAAAAATCATATTAATACCACAACTATAGAGAAAAGAGGCACTATTCCGTATTATTTTTCTAAAGTAAATAAAAAACAGACATTTTTTCGAGCCTAATAAATTACTGACTTATTTTAAAATTCTTCATCAAAATATTGCCAGTGTCTTATCTAAACAAGAAATTATAGAAATGACATTAGAAGAACTAAAAGAAGGTTCCGAAGAACCAGATGTACTCTGTTTCACGGAAACTTTCTTAAAATCTGGCCATGAGGATTATATAAAGTTCAATAATTATGAGATAGCAAGTAGCTTTTGCAGAAATAAAAGTAGGGGTGGATCTTGTATCTTCGTAAAAAAGGGCTTGATATTTAAAGAATTAACATTCCTTAAAAATCATGCATCTCAGAACCTATTTGAAATATGTGGTTTAGACATTCCTTCTATAAAATCGGCCATAATATGTATTTATAGAACTCCGTCTTCAGATCCGACTCTCTTCATAAAAAGACTAGAGTCTCTACTATTCGAAATGTTTAAAAAGAACAAGTTCAAAGGTAATGTGATTATAGTAGGTGATTTTAACATTAACATATTAAAACAAAATTCAATTACCAAATACTTTCAAGATGTATTATATAACTATAACCTAACAAATCATATTAATGTTCCTACACGGAAATCTTCGTGTATAGATCTTATTTTAAGTAACATAGTTAAAGCAAACGCCTCAGTACTGCCTCTGCACCTCTCGGACCATAATACAGCACAAATGATAAGCTTTCCCATTAAGTGTAAACAATTAAAACCGGCCTTTCATTACATTTATGTGAGAGACTACAGTCCTGAAAATATGAGTAAATTTGAAAAGTGTCTAGCTAGTCTCTCTTGGTCAAATGTATATGCAGAGACAGACTTTAACAAAGCTTTTAGTGAGTTCCACGAATTGTTTTGCCTACTTTATAAATTATGTTTTCCAAAAGTTAAAAAAAAGGTAAACAATATTAAGAAAACGAGACATAATTGGATTAGTAATGGCCTTCGAGTTAGTTGCAAGAGAAAAAGATACTTACGTTACCAACATTACAAATATAAATCAAATTTAAGCAAAAATAAATACAAATTATACTCTAACATCCTACAAAAATGTATAACTAAATCAAGAAAGAATGCTAACATTAAATATATAAATAACAGCAATAATAAATGTAGAGCATCGTGGACTATAATTAAAAATGAAATAGGCAATAACATGAATCTAAATAGTATTGACAATATAAAAATTGATAATGTTATTATAACGGACCCTACAGACATTGCAAATGCATTTAATGGACATTTCATTAATTTGACTTCGAATATAAATAATAAACGTAATGTGTTAATTAATAACAAAAATAAACAAAGTAACTCAATATTTTTGAAACCTATGACACGTAAGGAAATTAAAAGTATAGTTATGTCCTTAAAAGGTACACAATCAGTGGGCTATGACGAAATTACTACAAAAATATTGAAAACTTGCATTGAAAAAATTATAGCAGTTGTGACTCATCTGGTAAACTTCTCATTTGAATCGGGAATTTTTCCAGAGGTGTTAAAATTATCTATCGTAAAGCCNGTTAATTAATCGTAGCTTAATTTTATACCTAAGTTAGGTCTAGTCAGTTCTCGTTCAAATAACTTTCTCAGTATTTAAAAACAAGTCAATAATGTAAAAGTATTAATTAACATTACAAAGCAATCCTGTATAATCTAGATCATACAGTTCTTGAATCTAATCTCGCTTAAGTAACTTCCTCAGTATTTAAAAATAAGTCAATAATATATAAGTATTAATTAACATTACATAATAACCCTGTGTAATCTAGATTATTCAGTTCCTGAATTTAATCTCGTTAAATAGCACATATCAATAACCTATAAGTACTAATTATCATTAGATAGTAACCCTGTATAATTTAAATAGTTAAATTGTTCAATTTAATCTCGTTAAATAACTATTGACGCAAATCGCATTGTTATTTACTCGTAACTCGCAATCTAAACTCACATAAATAACAAACCGGTTTGCTACGCGTCAATAGTACTACCAGTTTCTCGATAACTTTTAAATACTCGTAGTAAACAAACATTGTAAGAACGATTCACCGAGCGAACTCATTTGCATATTTATCAGTGAGACGCATTTTTTCTATTCGCCACGGCCGGCACTCGCTCGCTAGATGATTCATAGCTAGATTTTACCTGCCTAATGTTTGCGCGCCGCGCCAAGCTGCATTCCATTTACATTAGGAAATATTGTTTATTTTTTTTTTATTGTAACTAAAACTTAACCCCTTAACTGCCATTGTCTTGTATAACTTTTAATAATTATTATAGAAATTATTAACATTAATCAGATGCCTATGCTGAGCATACTAATTTAAATAATTTAAACTAGAAATAATAATAACAAGTACCATGCATACTATTACTGTATTAAATAAATATTTCAAGTAATAATTGAATACTCGTAATAACAAAGTAAACAACAGACTCGTTTAATTAGTTCATTGGTAAATTGTAAACAAAAGGTCAAAGGTCTTAATAACAATTATCTTATAACATTGTTTCAAAACTAAGTTAACTAAAATTAGCGTTTAATTAGTTCATTGTAAGCAAAAAAAATTGNGAATATTTGGTGCTCATTTCTTTTATTTTTGAGGACCAACAAGTAATGATCAGATATAATTTTTACATCTCAAATTTTTTTTGCGTAGTTCAAAAGAGGTTAAAATATCGATCGATTTCATTTATTTTATGTCTCAAAGAAAGAGGATCAATCATTAAAATAGATGACCATTTAGATTTTTTTATTTGCCGTTTTTGCTAATTTAAAAAGATCATTTAAATACATGTCAATAACAAATAGCTGCCAAAGCCACGATGAACCAAACTTCATGATGGTCCAAGGTTCTCACCCATGTTGGGAACATGCGCTGACAAACTTTCAGCTTGAAACTGGCTCTTGCTCTATAAATTACTTAGTTAGTTTCAGCCAAATGACGTCCACTGCTGGACAAAGGCCTCCCCCAAGGTTTTCTACAATGAACGGTCCTGCACTGCCCGCATCCAGGCTATTTCCGCGACCTTTACCAGATCGTCGGTCCACCTAGTAGGAGGCCTGCCCACGCTACGTCTTCCAGCCCGTGATCGCCACTCGAGAACTTTCCTGCCCCAACGGCCATCGTCTCTACGAGCTATGTGCCCCGCCCGCCATAAATGACTTATACAACAAATAATATGATTGTTTTGATTTCAGGGCGGGCTTGTGATCACCCTCACCAACGGGCAGCAGTCGGTGTGCGGCTCGTCCATGCTGACCAACAACCGCGCGGTGACGGCGGCGCACTGCTGGTGGGACGGCCAGAACCAGGCGCGCCAGTTCACCGTCGTGTACGGCTCCAACCGCCTGTTCTCCGGCGGCTTCCGCATCACCACCAGCAACATCCTGATGCACGCAAGCTATAACTTCCGCACCCTACATAATGACGTAGCGATCATAGTCCATCAATGGGTTGCCTTCGGAAGTGAGTGCCCGACAGGGTCCATAATTGTATCTTACCTTACCACTAACACCTTTTGTAAACATTATGGAAGCAATAAACTATTGAGTATTGAGTAAAGTAGATAAGTTAAAATGACAAGAGATATTACCTACATCAAGTTTAATTGAATAGTCCAGTCAACCATTTGACATAGCTACGTTTTTCTGCGAAATATTTCCACGATATAATAAATACCTTGGTTTAATGTAGACTGTTTACAGTAATGTAAGTTATCAAACAGCTATCCTAAAGCTTCTCTGTTCAGCCAATAACATATTAAGCGATAAAAGCTGAGATTTGTTTCATCATCCACCTGAATAAGCATCTGGGCACTGAAACTTTTATCACCAATATTCGTAAAATCTTCATGGTAAAGAAGAACGGTCATCTGTGACCCAGGCCCGACAGAAACGAGACATACCTCAGTTTTTTTGTCATGTCTTAATTAGTTAAATTATATATTTTTTATAGGCATGTATTTAAATGATCTTTTTAAATTAGCAAAAACAGAAAATAAAAAAATCTAAATGGTCATCTATTTTAATGATTGATCCTCTTTCTTTGAGACATAAAATAAATCAAATCGATCTATATTTTAATCTCTTTTGAACTACGCAAAAAAATATTGAGATGTAAAAATTATATCTGATCGTTACTTGTTGGTCCTCAAAAATAAAAGAAATGAGCATCAAATATTCAATATTGTGATACTTTTTTAAATAATTCGATTTGTATAAATTATTTTTTGTCTATATCAAATAATCTTCAAAATAATTATGTTATGGTACTTATTTTTATTAAGTTGTAGTCAAAGGATGGAAACTATTTAAAGGCACTTGATGTTCAAAGATTTTCTTAATTAGTTAAATTATATATTTTTTATATTCGAAATCTATGTATAACACCAAAATATTACCCTTTGTTTTTGTTTAGGCGTTATACAAAAACTAATACAAAATGCTTATTTATCACCAAAATTGGTAAATGTATGTAACTAAATGTCTATTACAGCTGCTATGGAATGTATCTAGGTGACCTGGAGATACAGCCGGATTATACAGGGTGGAAAAAATAAAAAGTTACAAACTCCAAAAATTCAATGTTACCAGCTTCCATAATCTGTACCCTATTATTGGTACCATTTGAAAGAGCTTGTAAAGCACTTTCAGAATCAGTAACTAGTTTTTCGATATCTTGTATAGTTTAAAAATAATCGAGTGAGATCACTTATCGTTCCATATGTATAACCACCCTGTATAATCCGGTTGTATCTCCAGGTCACCTAGATACATTCCATAGCAGCTGTAATAGACATTTAGGTACATACATTTACCAATTTTGGTGATATATAAGCATTTTGTATTAGTTTTTGTATAACGCCTAAACAAAAACAAAGGGTAATATTTTGGTGTTATACATAGATTTCGAATATAAAAAATATATAATTTAACTAATTAAGAAATGACAAAAAACTGAGGTATGTCTCGTTTCTGTCGGGTCTGGGTTTTTTTTGTATGGGGCGTGACCGTTCTTCTTTTGTGAAATCACGTTTACACTTTCTGTTATACATAGCTACCATCAACCGCATTGCGTTGCCGAGCGGAACCCAGCTCAACAACAACTTCGCCGGCCAAACAGCGACAGCCGCAGGTTACGGACGCACCGGCGATAGTAAGTCGAACAATGTTTTTGAGATTATTTTCTGGAAAGGGAACGCCCGCGGAACTCCAATCAACAAAACAATTTACCACTTGGTTTTTCTAAGTTAATCTATATTTATATCTACGAGTAGTTAAAAGTCTTTTTTTCACAACAAGGAAGCTCTTGGCTCACATCTCACTATGTGAGATGATGATCATGTTATTAATAATATGCATATAAGAGTATATGTATAATTTCGGTGTCCTTGGTGTAAGTAGTTAACTTTAGGAAAATCATCACGGTGACGTAACCCATTTCAGACGCGGCCATCGGCCAGAACCAGGACAAGCGGCAGGTGAGCATGCCGGTGATCACGAACGCGGCGTGCGCGTCCACATTCGGCTCCAGCACCGTGATCGCGTCCACGCTGTGCACCAGCGGCGCGGGCGCGCGCAGCGTGTGCCCCGGCGACTCGGGCGGCCCGCTCTCCGTCGGCTCGGGCACCGGCCGCATCCTGGTCAGTACACAGTACACACGCCGGACAACTCGACATAATTATTATTCGCCGCTCTCTCTGAATTCTCTGGCCACGTTGCACTAAAAGACACGTATGCCTTTTCTTGCGTGATTAATAACATTGCAGGTTTATTGCCTTTCTTTTTGTATTTTATGGGTTATTATCTGTATAAATTCACCTGCGAGCATTCATAAGATTTGGTGATTAACTCTAAATAATGTGCTCAGAATCTGAATTTCAAGTCCACTTTGTGTACTTACGTATTATGATAAGTGTTTCCGTCGTGTCGGCAGATCGGCATCACGTCGTTCGTGGCGAGCGCGGGCTGCGCGCGCGGCTTCCCCGCCGGGTTCGCGCGGGTCACATCCTTCAACTCCTGGATCCTGCAGCGACTATAAGCCCTCTGACGATGTTATGATATGGAAATAAAAACTTTTATTTAACTATCGATTGTTTCTCAGTCCCACGCAGCCAAATGACAAAGCAACAAACCATTAACTTGAAAGAATTAAAAAGTGGAAAAGCTTTTTACTATTTAATAATTTTTAACTCAAACAAAACAATTTGAAATCTAGTCGTAACTTTAGATAATTCAATGTGCACTTGAATGTAGAAGGTAAACATAAACAACAAAGAATTATCTCGCCTTCTAAAATAGAGTTAGTAGTAAGGGCGCTTCGTGTCGTGCGTTTGCTATACCGCACACTAACTATTGGTAATTACAAATATTTTATTTAGCAAACACACCGTTTACGCATACACCTTCAAATAACAATAATACATTGTCAATTTTATTCCGACGCAGGTGTCATACTTGTCATAAAATTTACCGTGTGCGGTCCTGCAAACGCACAGCAAACGCACGACACAAAACGTCTAAATTGAAAGCGCCCTAAGGCCCAAATCATGCGGAGTCATTCAAAGTCAAAATAAAAAGGGGCCCCTTAGAGGCTCCCTTTGTTTCATTACTTAGTTATCTATTTTGACGTTCAAAGGTGCCAAAATATTGATCTGAACTAATTTTTCAACTGTCGGATAAAGATGAAGAATAATAATTATGAGTAGGTAAGTAAAAAATTGTATGCTCTTTGAACGGAACATAGTGATACTACCTACTGTAACATGTCACCATTTTACCTATGATTCACAATAAATATTTTTGTATTTGTAAGTTAGGCACATACAGTCTCAGTAAATTGTAAAGGAGATATTATCAATATGTCAAGCTGCACTCCCAATCCCAATTCGCTATTGCGCACACACAAAATTGCGAGTGTAGCATTATATGCCTGCCTTCCTTTCATCTGCCTATAGCACTTAAGACCTCTTCATATCTATTTTTTTAAACTCGTCTGTCCGTGACGCTGAGGTCTCGTGTTTGATAAGATGCTAGGAATGCATGGTCAAATTTGTCCAAAAAAACAAAGGAAATGGAACGAGCCGCTGTGTAAAATTACGTATGACTCTATCTATGTTCATCTTGTATGAATGATACACACCGTGCTGAGTCAGAAACGGTTCTCGTCTTATTGCCGTTGCTTCCTTGTCAGGACTACGGAACCCTAACAAACGGAATGTCATTTCATGATTATATCGGGCTGAAGCAAGTCTAGGGCACTGTGTTAACATATTGTAAAATTAGTCCTAGAATTGAATAAGTATACCTACCTAGCTTAGAAACGAGTACCTAATAAAAAATGTAAATGTAGGTGACAACATCATTTCTTTTTTCAAAAGACGAAAAAATACATTAATATATCACAAAATAAACACAGGAGAACCAAAGTGACCGACATAACTCGCAGAGTTGCTAAAATCATGTGGCGGCGGGGCACGTAGAATAAAATAGAATAGAAAGTATTTATTTGTCTCAAAACAGGTTTCATTTACAGTTTATCACAGAGACGTGACTCGTAGAGACGATGGCTGTTGGGGCAGAAAAGTTATCGAGTGGCGACCACGGGCTGGAAGACGAAGCGTGGGCAGGCCTCCTACTAGGTGGACCGACGATCTAGTAAAGGTCGCGGAAAGAACCTGGATGCGGGCAGCGCAGGACCGTTCATTGTGGAAAACCATGGGGGAGGCCTTTGTCCAGCAATAGAAGTCATTTGACTGACACGAACGAACGAAACACGAAGGAATAATTGATCGGCTGCAAGCATTTGATTAATAGTGTGTAACTCCCTCAAAATAAGGCTAGACTGTCGACATTCGCTTCCTCTAGCGTAATTGATGCCTGCAGCCACAAATAACCGCAGCGAAGCTTGTATTGTGTCCGATACGTGTAACACCAGGTATGGCAGCCATTGAGTTGTGGAAGCGAAATCTTAGTAAGTATAATAAATAAAATGCATTGCAATTGTTTCATTTTATTTATTGGTGTGCTGCGCGTGTCGTAGTAATTTAGTCGCTTAAATCCTGGCGCGTATCCAGGCGGCGAAGGAGGTAACGCGGGCGAAGGCGGCGGGGAGGCCGCGCGTGCAGCCCTCAGTTGACCCGAAGGAAGTGATACCGATCTGCAACGCAATGTTCAAAATGAACAACAGGTGTTCAATGCACTTGGCAGGTAATTGCTAATTGCTCATAAGATAGGCCCCCTTAATTTAATTTATTGTCCGTGGTGCATAATCTTTTTCTTAAAGGTTTTAAACCTTTGTTTGTCACCTGTCATCCGCTTTGCAATGGAGGGAAGTCGAACCTTAATTTCGAACTCCTCCTATGTTCTTCTGATTAATTTCGTTGCGGGTCCAATGACAGTTTAACTTTCCCCCGGGACAAACTTGACCTTCATTGGTTGGGTTTTTGTGGCGGTCAAGCTGTAGATCCTGGCTACACAGGAGTTGCAGTGGTGGGAACGAGAGGTGGGAATAGTCCCGTGTTCAATAGGTATTTGTATCTAAAATGTGTTGCCAGTTTCACCTTGCCTATCTAAAATCATAGATGCCCCCGATTCAAGCCCCGCGAATCACAATAGATAATATCAATTGTTACGCTGTCATAAAATTATGCGACCGCGGGGATTGATGGGCTATATTATGTATACCGAACAATCAATAACCGACCTCACGTCAGTGAGGTAAGTAAGGCACATAGTTATGACATCATGTTTTATGTATGTCTTTTATGAAAATGTTCGGCTAATTTATACAGTTCCTGTGACGTGTAGAACAGGGTTTGTACTGACCAGCACACGGCTGTCGCCGGAGCCCACGGCGAGCGGGCCGCCGGAGTCGCCGGGGCACACGCTGCGGCCGCCGGCGCCGCTGGTGCACAGCGTGGACGACAGGATGAGCGGCCCGAACGTGCCGCGGCACACGTCGTTGCCGATCACCTGCAGCGACACCTGCCTCTTGTCCTGGTTTTGGGTAATTTGCGCATCTGCAATAACGGGACACTCATAAACCGCTCTTTACTTACCTGCCAGTAAAATATTTCTAAAATAAAATGAGACCAAATAATTTTCGAATCGAACTGCCTAAGGTGGGAGTCGCTCGGTAAGCGAAAGGTCGTGGGTTCGATTCCCAACCCCTTAGACCTACATTTATCTCGTTGGCTGGCTTAACTATGTCCTTTTCCACTTACTGTCAGCAGTGAGGCCAAATCCAGCGGCCACAGCCCATTGTCCGCTGTAGGAATCAGAGCCAGTAGGCAGATTAATGGGTCTGATTGTGTCTGCAAAAAATATGTTTTTCTTTGTTACCTACCTAAATTTATTATAATTATAGACAAACAAAAAAGACAAGATTTTACCCACTCAAAATAAGATACGAGTAACTTTTGCTATGAGCAAGCAATTTTTATAGCAGATTTTTTTAAAATAAAACTTATTATTGTCAATGAATACCTACTGGTAAACGCTACGTGATTATGGACGATGATAGCGACATCATTCATAACGATGGTGGGGATCCAGTTTTGGTGGACCTGCACGTTGCTGGTGGTGATGCGCACGCCGCCGGAGAACAGGCGGTTGGAGCCGTACACGACGGTGAACTGGCGCGCCTGGTTGCGGCCGTCCCACCAGCAGTGCGCCGCCGTCACCGCGCGCGAGCTGGTCAGCAACGAGGAGCCGCACACCGACTGCCTGCCGTCGGCCAGCGCGATCACCAGGCCGCCCTGTGTTCAGAAACGTCATGCGGTACTGACGGCAGGTCACCAGGGGCGTGAGCGTCGATTGAGGGGCTCCCGTCGGCTCAGACTCACAAGATGCGGCTGCGCGCCCGCGCTGACGGCCTGGCCGCCGGCGACCCTGCCGTCGAAGTCCAGCGCGCGCTCGCGCTGCCGGATGAGCGCGGCGCGCGCCACGCCTGCGCTGTCGTGGTAGTACAGCAGCGGCGCCTCGAACGCGCCCGCCGCCGCCACCGCCGCCGCCACCGCCAGCGCCAGGAACCACACCACGGGCGACTGCATCCTTCGTTACCTGAGGGACACGAGAGATATTATGCAATTAGTTAATTATTGTTTTTTATAGTAACTTTAATATCTTATCGTTAGTTAATCTATTTTATTTTATTGATCGATGAAGTTTATATCTCGCGTATCAAATGTAGATGTAATGTTAACAAATCATGCAAGAGATTATCGTCTAGCTAGGTACTTAAGGTAGAGCTTAGACCATAGACATCCGGGATTATTTTATTTTAAAATCTATCAGTAAGAAAAATAACAATATAAACAATAATCATTACCTATTAAAAGTAAAGATCATTGTTATGTATGCTGTAGGAGTATTGACGTGTTCAGCTGTTTTTTGACTGAATTCACTAGTAGTCCAGTCAAAGCAAACGGCAAACATCGCAAACGTGCATGTTTAACAACCGTACCGTAAACTCTATAAACCTTATGGGGACCAATCTATGGCCCTTTGAATTCATTGTTACCGAACATATTCAATTTTACTACCGTTTGAATTGATATTGTCAAAATCGCTCATCCTATGAGAAAAGTTATCTTATATTAAGTCCAGTGTTCAGCAGTGTTCACCTACAATAAATTAGGTGATTGAAATGCCATACAAACGCAAAGGTTGATATATTTAGGGCAGCGAGGATTCGCAGATTTTAGGATCGTTCTAAAAGTGATAAATAAAATTTACAATATTTTAAGACCAACCGCAGTTCAATAAGCCTTTAGGCTAAATGGGCTAAATAGGTACAAGATTGATGCAGGTTGGTAGGACTATATTAAATACTTATTTATGTTTCAGTCAAACTCATAATCAGTCAAAAGTTTGATGCCCTTTGGTCAATATCACTTTTGACTGATTTTTCCAGTCAAAACCACTTTTGAGTGCAAAGAAGGCGCGGGCGGAAGCTAGTGCCCCATAAAATCTATGGGAGAGTCTCGTTTGACAGTTTTATAAAGCATGTCAACTGATTGGCGGTATCAAAATAATATCCTATTGACTGTAATTTCAAGTGCCCAAATCAAAGGGGGACATACGACAT